TTTTTTTTTTTTTTGGGAATTTATATATTTGTATGAATTTATGACGATTATTTTCATCTTTCTTCAATCATTTTCTCTAAAAGAAAAAGATTTTAATAAAGTGGTCAACACATAGCTTGACAATATAGAATTCTCAACTAATAATTCGAGGGATATGTCTCCTTTTTCTTTTCTTTTTTTAGTTAGTTTCCACATTTGATAAACTTTTTGTTACGTGGGTACTGGGAATTCTTCTTAGCCATACTTTAAAGCCCCTCTAAAAAGAAATCTTTCAAAAGGTCGACTTTATTGATAATTTCGTATGCTAAATATACAAAATTTTAAATACTTAAAAACTCAAATAATATTAATGTGGACGATCTCACATTGTAATCATTCTATATTCTTTGAGTTTTACTTAGAAAATACCTTATGTACAATTCTAAAGAAATGTCTATTATAAGGATATCGATAACTAGACGAGATTGAACAGTATAATAAATAAATATTTTATTTTTTGTCATTTTTAATACTATATCTTAAGTACGGTCAACCCTTTTTTGTTTTTCCAAATATACCGATTTTTAGCAAAAAAATTGAACTCAATAAGATGCATCGAAATGTTAAAAAGGGATATGCTACATGTACACAATAGNAAAACGAGCCGAGCTTCTGCTCGGTTCGTTGCTCGTGGGCGAGCTCAGCTCGGCCCACGAGCTCGTACTGTAGTGAGTCGAGCCGAGCTGCCCAGCTCGGGCTCGCATTTTTTGATTTTTTTTTAACTATCCTTCTTATTAAAAAAAATAAAATTAGACGAGCTGCTTGTAAAAAAGAGCCTAGCAAGCTCGGCTCGCCTACCGAGCCGGCCTGCTCGGCTCGTGCTCGGGCTCATTTTTTGACGAGCCCGAGCTGCTCGTGGGCCGCTTCAGTACAAGTCGTTCGACTCAATTGCCACCACTACGTGTGTACACCATGAGGTGTAGACATAGCATTTTTCATATTAAAAAACGTAGAAATTGTGATGAAGTAGGATATTTTTAGAACAATGGAGGAAAGAGAAGAATAAAAGTAGATATGTCCAACTTTCGTTAAGACTTGAGTTTAAGTTCAAAATAAATTACACAACAATTTCTATAATGATGTCCAAAATGGACACGTGGATGCCTCCTATTGAGGGGTGCTTACGGGCACAGGCGCCCCCACCCCCAATAGGGGGCCTCCATGTAACCTATAGCACAACCCAATTAATATATTATTTTTTTAAAAGAAAAAAGAGAGAGAGAGAGATAAAATGAAAATCTACGCACCGAATTTAAGAATTTCCCTTACTGATTTTACTTTATGGAGAGTAGAATATTGTTAGGCAAATAATTATTCCCCACAAATTGCGGATGGAAGTAGCAAAAATATTATTAATAAAAATTATACTCTAATATTTAGATAAAAAAATTATTTCTATAAAGTTACTCTTAATTTTCAAGTTAATAACTTCACTTTTTATTTAAATAAAAAAACTTGGCCAAACATGGTTAAAATACCTTAGTTACAGTATCGGCACTGACTTCTCACCAACTGCCCATGGAATAAGTTGACTCTTATGGTGAAGTGATATTCCTACTCATGCTCTAGATGGCAAAGCTGAGATGATTCATAATCAAAAACTTTATCCTCAAATCTATTTGGCCCCTGTTTGATAGGACATTATTTTGAAAAATAGAGTTTTCTATAGTGATTCCCCAATAATACGTGATTAAAAAGTAAGGAAAAATTTTAAATTTACGTACAAAATATTTTATTATATAAATGTGCGATTGAAAATGAGTATGAGAATTAAAGAATTTTGTTTTAAATAGAGACAAACAGGATCTTGATATCATTTAATTATTTGTTATATTTAATGAATCAATACTAGAACCTCATTCGAAAACATCATGTTAATTCACTTTAGGCCCTGTCTGGTAACACCGTTTTTCCAATTTTAATCACAAATCCAGCCGTTGAAGCCGTCACTGTGGACTTCCTGTGAGATGCTGGGCCCCGCATAACGTTCCAAAAATTGATGAAAATCTGAAAAGAATTTTTAACAGACAGCCTCTTAATCTATTCCTTCCACTTTTAATTTGTTATATTAGAGGTATGAAGTAAGTCGAGACGATTTTAAACAAACTCGGCACACACCACAAGAGTCATATAGTGTACCAACATAAGAATTCTCGACCTTCACTAGTCAAAGAATTTAAAATATGACGTTCATGCATATGGGAAAGGTGCATTAATTCTTTAGAGCATTTGGAAGACAATATGATGGAACAAAACTTAGTGCTTTCGTGCTAAGACTCCAATGTCGAGTTTGGTGGATTCCCACCACACAATAAGGAGTATGAGAATGAATTGCCACAAAAACCCTAGAATATTCTTAATAAAGCTAAATTCATTTACGTGAATTTTTCACGACACTCCATTCGCTTTATTGCTTTGTGTGAGAGCACGATAAAAATCTCTGTGTAATAGAAATATGTGGTTCAACTTTTTTTAAGCTACAATACAATACCAAGAAATAATTATAGTGCATTATGTAACATACAAAGATTTATC